TATATACACACACACACACACACACATATATATATAAAAATACATATATACACACATATGCATACATCCTAGTGATTGTGTGCCATATATCAACAGAGACTTGGGTGAAAGCTTGTCATAGTGCAGATCTCCGTAAATATCACAATATGTTATCAATACTGGCACCACCTTAAGACACAGGAGTGAGGAATAATTACATAACATAGGTCAAGCATTTCAACCACATACAAGACACAATAATGACATTAATCTGTAAAATGTTACTCCCTTTTATCTAAGTTTAAATAAAAGATCATGCCATGCGAGTTAACTGTTTAACTTGCATGACATGATGTATGTTAAAAGGGAAAACATACATACATACATCCGTATACATATATAAAAATAATGCTCCTTGCATCTAGCAATATCTGAATAGCAGACAGGTTGTGAATATATCAGTGAAGTGAATGGATGACTAGAAATGTGTCAGGCCTGTGACACACTAGCCACTCTGAACTATCCCTAAACAGACAGTCTACAACTCTCACCTACTGAACTGATTAGCAGAGAGATCAGCTGTTCGGTGGACGTTATCTCCAAAAACTCAAAGTCCCACAAAACACACACAAACACACACACACCATGACTTTAAATCATAACTCTGATTATTTGTGCATAGTTTATAAGCTACCATGCACTATTATTAAAATGTATGATTACTGCCTGATGTTTTAAAGAACAGCACACAGCTCATATTGTTTACATTGTGACACCTGGGGTCCCTTGACTGCATCACGCATAGTATTACAGCAGAGCTCTCATACACGCTCAACAATGACAAATATAAAACAAGTAACAAGCATTACAACTGTCACACATTCAATATTGACAGCTAAACATAAAAATTACATAAGCCAGTTTCTATTGTCAATGGGTAGTAAAGTTTGCAGCTCTACAATAAACTATAATAATTTCATTAATTTATATAAACATTTATAGAAGTGCTGTACATGTAGTTTTGTAGGTATTAATGCAAATAACTGCAAATATTTGTGCCATGTTTAGTATTTCCTTCCCATTTAAATATCCTCATCAACTGGCCTACACATCCTATTGCACAGAACAATACATCACATATTTTTGCTCTACCATTTAAAATCTTCCAAATCAAAACAGAATGTAAAAGAACATGAAATATATATATTTATATATTATCAATTATGTGAATTCATTTTCCCATAAGCACTAGAACAAATATGTGAATAATATTGAACACAGTATTAAAAGATTGCACAGTGTATATACTGCATTAATAGGATATCATAACTTTATAATATGCCTATGGACCCACCATTTCTATATTTGTTTTAAAATATGCAAAAACGGTTTAAGTATTCAGGAATTATAAAAAAAAAACAACCTAGATATATATATATATAACATACACACACACATTATTGTGTCTATACAAATATATAAACAAAGAAATTTGCCATACTTTAGGGACTGTACAATACATTAATGATATATATATATATCTCAAGTCTCAAGTACAAAAAGTCTTATAAATACATGCAATTCTTCACTTTCATATAATAACACAAAAAATATTTAAATTTAAAATAAACTAATATAAGCAAATAACAATACAGCTTTTATGAATATTTTGGAATGGTTTAGATCCTTATGTAGTAAGGACAATACCAAACACAGGCTGTTTGGTTATTTTAATCAAATAATTAAAAAATATGATTTACTGTACATTAAAATAATAATATGCATAAGGTGTATACAACACTAAATTAAATATAGTTACTGCAATATTGTTTACAAGTGGCAACACAGGAGCATTTGTCTTTTAAAAATAAGCTGCTCTCATTTCACCTTAACCAGGAGTTTGGAACAATTCATTTCACAGAGCCAAGCATGGTATCAAGTAACTAATGTGGCCCTCTGGTGGAAAGCTAAGTATCACATTTGACATTTCTGCACTGTGTTATTCTGTGCACTGGATGCTCAAAACATGCTTTATCTTCACACATTTTGTACCCAACGACAATAAAAGACAAACACCACATAATACACAGGCTGCATTTGACAAAATAAATTCAGCATAAGTCTTCACAAATGTATAGGTCACAACAAAAGGAAAAAAACAAAAACACAGCGACACTCCTGTACAGCAATACAAACAAACAAATAAAGCATGCCAAAATAGAATCAAGCTAAATCAAGCTAAACAAAGCAAAGGCAAGTTCATCAACAGTCCATAAATACCTGACTGAGTGCAGATCAGCTGTGTGTTTGTAAGCAAACCAGGAAGCAAAACACAAAACTTACCTGCTGTTGTTGCAGATGCAGCAGTTCTACTGTGCTTACTTCACTGCACATGTCACCACTTGATCTTCCATCTCTGTTGCCAGCATCTAATTGGCTGCTTAGAGTGCTCATTCCATTTTGATTCATTGAACTGTTGCTTATTGTCTCTGTTGCAGATTCCTGCATCATGACTTAATACCTAAAAGTGATTAAGAAGTATCAATTAACACACACGTTACACCTTCACACTTCTATTATCAAGATGTCCCTCTCTCTGCCAATTACAAAGACAGCATCTTTAGGAGGAGGGAAAAAAACACAGGCTGCTCAGTAATTTACCAAGAAATGCAATACAAATTCAGGTTTTATCCGGATACTAATCACTGAAATTATGGTGCCTATATGCTGCCTTTGTGTGGTTATAGTTAACAGGCAAAACAGCATGCTATGCATGCAGCATGGTTAAAAAGCATTTATGAATGGCTACATTTTAAAGTCTACCTATAAAATCAAGTCAAATGAAAGCTCAGCTGCACACACTTTACTATATTTTCTACTATCTAGCTTTGACAACCATGGATGGCTATGCCGCCTTATTTAAAATATTCCCTATCTTAAGTCTGTCAGAATTTTACAACACATCTTATGCAAGGCTTTGTTTAATGATGCACAGCTAATCATATAAAATTAAAATTTTGTACGAGTGTTACAAATCATATGGTATCAAGCGATGATAAATAGCCTAATGGGCTTCTCCCTTTTTTTTTGGTGCCTAAATAAAACGTTGCCTCCGAGGCATTTTAAGAAAAAGCTCCTGCTGCAAAACACATCAGATATTGCCTATTTTTTTAATCAAACGGCTGATATTCATTTATTTTTCTGACATTTAAAACATTTAATACTGTCCTTCCTGGGAAGTAATTAAGCTTATGCATGAGCAGCAATCAAACTGCTCACTTGAAGATGACTTAAAACTCAATTTTAACATAGGCAAATAAATGAAAGATATAAAATTAATTTTCCAGGCATGTATTAGATATGAAAGCTAGAAATAAAATCTATCAAGAATATCACTAATGATTGTGCTAAAAACAGCATAAATTATGCATATTACCTTCTCTACAGTAATAAATGTTTTATCGTTTTCACTGCATAAATATACTGTACTTTCAGGGTAGCAATGAGATGTCCTGCCAAGATCAGTTGAAATCCTTGCAGTAAATAAAGAACCAAGTGCCCTTACAAACTTGACTTTCAAGGAACATTGTGCATGTGTTTTACGGAAAGGTCAATATGGTGCATATGCCACAGAACAATTTATAATAATATAATGGTCTCAGGATATTGAGAAGTCTTTGTCATTAGGAGTGGGGGCAACACAAATACCGCAACATACACAATATGCAATATGCAAAATATGTGATTATAATTAAGGGCCTCTAGCCAATTTTGGTTTGCCTGTGACACAATATAAAGATAATAAAGTTCCAAAATGTGATTTCTAAGGGCTATGTCAATGTATTGGGAGGGGGAATCACTTTGTCGCATGACAAGCAATTCATGAGCAATCCCTACTAACTGTGCTCAGTACACTCGCTTAATAAAAATTATTCTGGTCAGAAAAAAAAAAAGATATTTTAGAATATTTTTTAGAATTCCTGAAAGGCAAGGTAGGTAGAATACCCTAATAATGGTTACTGCCACTCGGTGAACCGTACAAAATGCAAAGTAGAAAAAGTGTTAGGAGGACTGGGCTATAGAACTACAGTATGCAGCCACTAACTGGATGTGTTTATGGACAAACAAGCCTTGTTAAACATCCTATTAAACATTAACTAACAAAAATATTACAAATGGAAAATGTGATGCACATAATAAATTTTACAAGACAAGAAAAAAAATGAGAAAGCTACCACTCTTTTCTGAGATTAGGCGGTTAATAAGTATTCAAATTAGGCATAAATTTTACATGCACAATGTTTAAAATATTCAGTAAAATGTGTCTGATTTCCCTCTCTAGATGTTAGGAAATTCTAATGTACTTCTCAGCCAAACAAAGAAGATACATCTAGATTTTTTTTTACGCATATACTTTTCAGGAAAGAACACAGAAGCTGGATGATAAAAATCTGTGCAACTTTGTCAGTTATATCATCACAAGCCAAAATTTAAGCCCAGCAGTTGCACTTTTTCTAAGCTCTAGTCAAGAAGGAAGCAAAACATTTGACACTTTAAACACAGCCTTCTTTACAGATGAAACCATCAGCTTGTTGTGTTTGTAAAAATGCGTATTAGCGGGACGTTTGTGAAGTACAGAGATTCTTTGGAAGAGAAGGCAAACAAGGCTGTTGCTAAGCAAATTAAAATGTTAAGTTGACAAGGAGTTTATGGCCTGTGGTTTGTGGATCCTTGTTAAGAGCTTACAGTATATTTAAGTGCTGCTTTCTACAGGATATTTCAAGGGAATATTCCAAAACATTGCACGACTGAGTAGTCAGTAGTGAATGACCCCCCCAACAGCAGAAAAGCAATATTTAATAAAAAGTGAACAGAGGGAATAAAAACAGATAGTTTAGAGTACTGGCTCTTTCATTGGTAATCAAGCTAAAAGTTGGACCTTGCTTTAAGACTTAAAACAGCTGGTTATTGTTTAAATGGAGTTACTTTCCAAGGATATTGCAGCATTAGGCATTTGTATGCTTTTCATTGCACATCTAAGGGAATCTGCTACAGTGATATTAAAACTAAAGGAAGATTATACTATGATACATAAAGGACTGTAGCAGTGCACAAACATACTAGCAAGGTAACTGTTATAAGCTATAGGTTGATTACATTATCAGGGGGCGGTGCTGTTCCCTGAGTGTGTAATGAGCGCTGTCATGTTTGGGCAGGTGCCCCGTTATGTATCCATTCCTCAGAATGTGGAAGTGTCAGAAGGAACAAAAAAGAAGGAGTACTGGGAAGTATGCAAACTTAATCTCTTTTTAAGCATCACAGTGGCCAGTCCACTGGATGGAATCTACTAAGGAGGGATACAAGACAGATATATAAAAATGAATCTCATACTTTCAACGATGTAGCTGTTTTACAGGAGTTAAAACAAACCTACTTACGCCCTGAACTGCCTTTATCTGTTTATCAGCTTTGTGGCCCACAGTTTTTTATTTGTATAGCACACGCTATTCCATCTCCAGACGTGTACCCACTCTATAAGAGGAAATAATTCAGCAAGTTTCCTTTCCTTACCAAGTGGCATTATAGATACTTACTCTCTACATCACTTCCCTTTTGAAACATTAAACTGACACTGGAAGTGACTGCACAAGATTGCATTTTCTCTTCCTAAACAACCTGAATTGAAAGGTTACTTAGTGTAACAATATTTACTTGCAGAATTGCGTTGTTACCAAGGGTATAATGGATGGTGGCTATGCAGGTTTACGCAAGAATGAGTGAAGCATGAGGCGTTAGCCATGTGTTTGACATGTTTCAAATTGCTATAATCCAGCATTAAACACACCCAGCAATTCAAGCCATTTCTTGCAGCCATAATCTTGAATAAAGCATGCACAACCACTTATTATATAAATTAGTATACGACTCCCTGTTATAGTCACAACAGTGCTTTTGTGTTTATTTTTCATCAAGATGTGGCTTTCTTATTTGTACAAATAGCAGGAGAGAAAGACATAGCTCAATTAGACCTGTTCACTTTATGACAGGGTAGCATTGAGCTTTAGATTCGTTTGTTTTGTTTTTTCTCACCGAAGTATGGATTATTTGGGTGTTAAATTCCTCAGTGCCAAGTATATAATTTTTTTCCAAACGATCACAGGCTTCCATCTACATTCTCTATCCTGCTATGTTTCCACTGTAATGTAATACACAGAAGAGGTATATACAGCCAAGGACAAAATGGCAAGTTACCTAAACAAAAGGAAGTAGTGTTGAGGCATTCCATGCATTCCTACTATTAAGTGTAACAAGATTTTTTGATCTGGGGAAGTGTGCTGACATTTTTAAATGTCTAGCTTCTCAAATGTTTTCGGGAGATGTGTATTTATGAAACTTATGAAACACAGCGGGACTACTTTCCACAGAATGAGACTATTCTTGTAGCATTAGCTAAAAGAGCAGGTACAGAAAAGGAACACTAAGGTATTATACTGCATCACTCACCGGCTAAAACCGCAATATCTTAAGGCATAAGGTAATGGGCCTGCAACAAAAAGCTACATCACTGCTGGGGCAGCAGGATCTTTGGCCTGACGTTATAGCCTGTAAACTGGAGTAACAATATTACATCAAATAAAACAAGGCTATTGCCAAAGTCAAAGTATGGCTTAACAACAGCACTTTACTTCAATGCACGAACACTTTATCACATCATCATATACAAACGTAAACGTTTTTTGTACTCCTAGAACATATCACGTAGATGACACATCAACAAGGTTATAGATGAGAAAATACATGTAATAAAAGTAGGAAAACATGTAACAGTAAACATCAAAAGGAAAATTACATATTGTGTAGAACTGTATACCGTTGTGTCCTTCACATTACTATAATAATATCACTTTACACAGGTAAGGTAAGTATGAAGTTTGGTGGAAGACACAATCTAGAGGCATTTCACACAGGCACTTTTATAGAAAAAGAGCTGTTTTTTATCTGCAATGTTTTCTAAACATCTCTCCTTTATCAAAAAGATATTGCAGCAGACATAATTCAAGATAAAGTGAATGTTTACTGAAAGTACTTCAAATATATCTGTTTAGTACACTGAAACAGTTTAACTCTTCGCCTGCAAGATGGGCCCGCGACTAAGCACAGAGGTAGGTTTTTGCAGGCCGATAAAACAACATGCAAATCTTAAGCCATGGCAGGTGGAAAAGGACATTTCGGTCAATATTTTTAGATCTGGGATATATGAAACTAATGCTTTGCTATTAAAAAAAAAAAGGAACAAAATTGATGATGCTTGTGGTACCAAAGACGTTCAGAGAAATACAGATAAACATTTGACTGTCACAAGGAACAGCAATGTTTCTTAGAGCATCATGTAAAAAGGATTAATGAATAAGTCTTTAATAATCTATTGCCCTTTAATATGCTCCCTGCTTGTAAACTGCTGACACAGCAGAGTTAATTCTATAAGCAAACTATTTTACTATAAGCTATTCAATCTACCCC